AACACTACATAGCATAAGTTATGCATACAGTATATGTATAAATTAATAAATTTTTTATTTTACAATTTATTGATGATATATTGTAGTGTTCCGATTCTAAATTCGACAATCTGAATTAATCTTTAATTTAGATAAATTCAGATATCCAGACCAAAGATTTTTACTTGAATTGGTTAAAGAACTTAAATAATGGACCTAATTATGTGCTCAAAAGCTAATTTTATATATACTAAGTTAATGCGCAGTATTGTGTGTTCGGAGCATATCATGTTTTACTCTTGTTTTTGACGCAACACAGTTCAAAATAATGTGATGAATCAAAAACATAACTCTACACATTCAGACAAACATCAAATTAAAAATTTACGGTTTGATACAAAAAACGTATATATACCTTTTATACAGGTTAATGCACAGCATAAATATCGAATATAGTCATGCATCAAAAACGTAACTTTAATCACGTGCGCGGACAGACATCCTTTTCTTGATTTTTTTCACTAAGACGCATCTACATCGTAACTTTTGATGCATCAAAAGCGTAACTTTTGATGCACTAAGTGCCCTCCGGACAATAACCTTACCTAAACATATAATGTCCGTCGTTAAGCTCCGGACAATAATCTTATAATACGTAGGATCGAAACACTAATACATATATAGTACACATATTATCACGTTATACGTAGTAACTTTTAGTGGCGATACTACGTAGAAGCTGTAAGCGTATCTAATTGATCAATTTTAGGTTAGATTATCTGTTATTAGTTAATTCACTTTAAGCAATTGATTGAACACTGTAAACTGGATTAATCATTCCAATTCACGAACATTACTCTGTGATATAGGGTGTTCTCAAGCATCTCAATTAAATTGATTAATTAATGATCATGATAACGCTCAAGCATCACAATCAATAACGATATTTATAGATTCTCTTCGCACTGTAAAGTAGCATAGATAATACGAAAATTATTTCGAAAAAAAGGTATAACCTTCACTATCATTTAAATATGGAGCGAAAAATAAAATAGCAGTATTCATTATAGTTTTATAAAAAATGGGTCGTATTTATTACATTCGTATCAAGATATCGATTATTTGTTTTTAAAAGCTTCGAGATTTTTTTTAGACCTTTAGAAATTTGTTGAGGATTCGTTGTTTATTATGTTTGATATGCAAAAAATGTAAATTTTTGAAAAAAAAAAAGATTTATATCTCGCTGATTTGTATTCTTAATTTATTCATTTTCCGACTAATAAAAATTTACCTCTAGTGCAGTGCAGTGAGGTGCTTGAGAATTATGATCATGTGATTTTATAATTTTTTTATGCTAATTTTATGATCATTGAAACGGAAATCTCTGATTGGCTGGTGTTGATGGCGGACAATGTAACAACGTACGTACAGTCGGCTCCAAAAGTTTATCACGGTTACACAACAAACCATAATAAAAAAAAACAAAAATTTATGCAAAATCATATTCGGAGATAAAATGAGTACCCTTTTTTTTTGATGATTTGTTTTATCATTTGATATTATGATTCAAGTTATCGATATTTATTTAATATCGATAAAATACTGTATGATCATTGATCATTAAGTATTAACATTATAGTATTAATTTGCTAATCTGAGAAATGTACGTATTAATATCTAAATTTTTGTTATGATTTTTTTATTATATTTTTTTCGTGTAACCGTGATAAACTTTTGGAGCCGACTGTACGTATGTAACTTTGTGTAAAACCTAAATATCTAAAATTAACTATACATCTAATCAGCATTTTTATATCATAAATGTAAAAGATATAATTAACAGTTTATTTCTTAAATATTTTTCTAAATTAGTAAAGTATAATTACTATATATAGTGCATATATACTATAAAATAACAACAAGCAAGAGGGATTAATTTGTAAATTAAATCGGTTAAATGTGTTCCATATTGACTATTTATGAGAAGTGGCTTGGTCGGCCTATACTGTAAATGGCTCGGCAGAGTAAAGGATCGGCTCTATCACTTGTATAGTGATAGTGTAAATAAATAAATCGAATCAAATCAATAAAGTTAAACTTTGAGGGGAAATTGTACGTAACAACTATATTTTATATTAATCATATATCGTTAACGCGATGATATACGTATACATACAATGACAATAAGAAACCTTGTAAATTCTATATACGGAACTGATTTGTTGGACATGATAAATTGTAACAAACAGAAAGATCTTTTGTCCACACGTGAACAATGAAATCGCTAGTCACGCTTTGTATCATCAATTAACGTTTTAATCAGATATGTCAACTGTTAATACATACATATGCACACAGAAGATCAAGTAAACTGCGTATAAGGTTATACATAGTTTTAGTTCTCGCTTAAAATTTTCTTTTTTATTGGAAAGAACCATGGGGGTAGGTGTAGAGCATTTTCTATTATTTCGTGCATGCGTGTTTCCTCCTTAAAGATGAGCAGTTCGAGACTGACATTTTCCCCGATAGGACATTGACGGCAAATTAAGAGCAGTCAATGAAAAAATCAAAAAGGAAGTCCAAATGCGGCAAGCCGCCGAGAGGGTTAAATCCCAAACTACCAATCCTCAGGTTCTAGCGCAGTGTGAACAAAACATTGTTGACGCCGCAAGGAATATAGATTATTTACAAAAAGAGTTAGAAAGGCTGCAAATAAGGCAACGTAATAGTTTACAATATCCTACACAACCTGGCCAACAACCCTATCAACAGACGTCTCCTGGTGGAAATTTCTCACCAATATCGCCACATCATTCTTATTCTTATCCACAACCAAACCAACAATTTAATTACTCTAATGTACCAGCACGAAATCCTTCTTTAGACCAAAATTATGATTCATCGATACAGCCTGTACGGAGGAGTGGATTATCCAATTTGGGTGGGATTTCGTGGCGAATTCTTTGTTTTTTCGAATTTTTTGCACTTAAAATATCTGTAAACCATTCGACTGATCTGTTCACCGAAACCTTTTTACAATAAACAGACCTTATTAAATCGGACGCTCCTTTTGCCCGCCAAAAAATATCACTGAAACTTCACGAACTCGAATTCAAACTTGATGTTGAACGAAGACTTAAGGAAGGTTCGGAGAGAATGAGTGAGGCAGTTCTTTCACAAGATCCAAAGAATAAAAAAGGCATCGCAGATGTTCAGATTCAAACATTGGAGAGTAAAGAAAAGATTTCTTTATTAACAAGATCGCTACAAAAATATAGATCATTATATATTGTAGATGAAGAAGAAGGTGAGTTACTTTCCTTGTATAACGACATTTCCTTTAATATTGCACAATACTTTCTGATAAATGTAAGTATTATATGAATAAAATGTTAAGAATTTGTATGCGGCTGTTTCTTTATCATATAACAAAGTTTTAACTGTATTGTGAGCAATAGTATTATCTGGAAATGTTTGATATATGTAAATTTGATAGAAAAAAACTAGCTTATTCGTATCCATAAATCTATAACATTTTTACATAAATTTTTTGTATTTTATTTAAATTCTCGGCAGACGATGAAATTTTACCACGGCAGCGTCGTCCTGTGACAGGAAAACTTGATATTCGTGTACGTAGTGCACAGCATTTGGCACATGCCCCCATGCGCACGTCAAAATCTCCAGAAACCACTGTTGTCATTAAAATTGATGGTTCGACAAAAGGCAAGACAAAGACTTCGCGTAACGATCGTTGGAATGAAGATTTCGAAATTCATGTAGAAAAAGCTAGTGAAATTGAAATTACATTATATGATAAGCCTCATGAACATCCGCAACCTATTGGTCTCTTGTGGATTAAAATTTCTGATATTGCTGAAGAACTTAGGAAAAAAAGGATTGAGGCTGAAAGTGGTCCGGGTTGGGTTACTGCTTCTAATGCTCAATTTGAAATGCAATCTTCACCCACTTCTGCTATGAATAATAATAATGGACCACCATATAGCATACCTTATTCTTCTGCTCAACCTCAACAAGGTGCTGGAACAGCTGTTCTACCAGATGGTATTGAGGCATGGTTTGACGTTGAACCAGTTGGTCAAATATTATTAAAATTAAACTTTGGTATGATAGGATTGTTAAATATATATATTAGATTTTTTCATTCCTAATATTTGATATTTTGTGTAATTAAATGATATATCTAATATTATATGCGGAATTCAGTGAAAGAGATTGCGAGCAAGCGTCCAGATGCTGGTCTTGGCCGTCAAGGGGCTTTCCGTAAACGCAAAGGAGAAGTGCATAAACAGAATGGACATAAATTCATTCAACAAATATTCTATCAAATCATGAAGTGCGCTTATTGTGAAGAATTATTTGTGAACGAAGGATATCAATGTGACGGTATATATGTGTTCTTATATAATATGTTTTTTAATATAAGTACACCATCTTAAATTGCATTATTTCTATAGATTGTAAATTGACTTGTCACAAGAGATGCTACACTAAACTAGTGACGAAATGTATCACCATGTCACACGCGGAAATGGTAATTGAAAAATATGACAATGTTAAATTTATTTCATTAAGAGTTATTTAAATATTAAGACCTAAAATTATCTATTAATTTTAGGATTCTGACTACAAACAACTCAATCATCGCATTCCACACCGTTTCGAACCTATAACTAGTATTATTGCAAATTGGTGTTGCCATTGTGGTTATATTTTACCGTTAGGCAAGAAAGGGGCGAAGAAATGTACTGGTATGTGATGTTTAAGACATGTTATATATAACATTGAATACATTTATTTATATCTTTATTACTTATTGTAGATTGTGGCATTACTTGTCATTCAAAATGTGCACATCTGGTTCCTGATTTCTGCGGAATGAGCATGAAACGTGCAAGTGATATGATCGAGCAAATTAGATATAGCGTTGAGGCTAGGAATGCCCACAGTCATCAACAGCCGAAACCACAACCAACACTACCAAAACAACAACCTTCCTATGAACTACCGTCAGAATATCGAGATGCACATAGTAATTTCCAAGGTCAAATGCCGGTAATAACATCACCTATTCCAGAAAGGCCTCCTGGCCAACTGCCTGCAGTTTCAATACCTCTCTCTAAAGATAAACCTGATTCCGTAATCAGTGCGACACGTAAAGTCGGATTAGATGATTTTAATTTCCTTGCAGTCTTGGGTAAAGGAAATTTTGGCAAGGTATGAATATTTTAATATTTATTTAATGGATGAATTCATTTGGAATCTTTAAATGATTTGCTTATTAAATGATTTTATAGGTCATGCTTGCAGAAGAAAAATATACCAAAAATTTGTATGCTATAAAAGTGTTGAAAAAAGAATTTATAATTGAAAACGATGAAGTTGAAAGGTGTGTGGATATAAAATAAATTTATTATATTTATTAACAAACGTATTTAATTTATTTTCTTCCGGTAAAATCAATAGTACACGTTCCGAAAAGCGTGTTTTCCAAGCAGCTAATCGTGAACGTCATCCCTTTCTACTTGGCTTGCACTCTTGTTTCCAGACAGACACCCGCATTTATTTTGTTATGGAGTATGTTAGCGGTGGTGATTTGATGTTGCATATTCAAAGAGAGCAATTCACTTATCGACGTGCGCAGTAAGTATCATTTTATTTAATTAATATTTGATGTGTTAGATGCTAGTATTAGCATGAGATGGAGATATATACTAGCATGTGATATTAATATTTTTATGCCGACAATAAAATTATCGTTTTCAGTTAATATATTGTTGACAATAAAATTATCGTTCAATTCTAAGGTTCTACGCGGCCGAAGTTCTACTTGCTTTAGAGTATTTACATAAACAAGGCATTATATACCGTGACCTTAAACTCGATAACATATTACTCACTCTTGATGGACACATCAAAATTGCAGACTATGGTCTTTGTAAAGAAAATATGGGGCATGGTGATACGACAAATACATTTTGTGGAACACCAGAATTTATGGCGCCTGAGGTGAATAAACATAAAGTATTAGTAACAGATGCTTAACTGTTAATAATTAATTTTGTTTCTTATTAAGATACTTCTGGAACAACGATATGGCCGTGCGGTCGACTGGTGGGCCTTTGGTGTTTTGATATATGAAATGCTTCTTGGACAATCGCCTTTCCGTGGCGACGATGAAGATGAAATATTCGATGCAATTCTAGAAGATGAAATTCTTTATCCGATAAATATGTCTAGAGATTCGGTATCAATATTGCAGAAGGTATGATTATTTAACAATAAATATTATCTCATTTTACACTTTCTTTAAAGGTTTACCTTACAATTAGTTATAATCCCTTTTCAGTTACTTACCCGTGATCCAGAACGACGTCTTGGTTCAGGGAAAAGTGATGCAGAAGAAATCAAGCGCCATCCTTTCTTCAAGGGTGTAAATTGGGATGACATGCTTGCTAAGAAAGTGCCACCACCTTTTTATCCTACAATTGTAAGCAACAATTCATTCACTTAAATAATAATTTAGCCTACATTTTACTAATAGATTCATTATATATATGTATATTATTTAGGCATCTCCCACAGATACTTCCAATTTTGATGAAGAATTCACGAGAGAAGAGCCGGTTCTTACTCCTGTTCATAGTAAACTAACTATGGAAAATCAAGAAGAATTCCTTAACTTCTCATATGTGTCAGATTGGGTTTATAATGGGCAAAAACAATAAGAAAACTGATGTTTTTTAATGTCTGAAGTCGGCAATTTAAAGAGTATTTAAAATTTCTTTCGTGACTATTACACTAGTATTTATTTTAAAATTCTTTGTATTTATTTACATACACTATTATATTTGATTTTCATTATATATTTATCACTTAAAAAATCATTACATGACGAATGAGATTGTTAGTGCTTAGTTTATTGGTTATGTAAATGTAAATGTACGTACTATTATCACATTAAATTTTATCGTTGTCATTAAATTGTCTTTAAAATGACGCGTTATAAGCGTTATCACCGGTTAAACAGGCTTTCATTGAAAACCGGTTCGAATTATTCCAACTGACCAGGTTCATTATAATGCTAAAATTTAGAATCGCTTTAGCCGTCTAGGCTAGGTTTATTAAAGCTACCACAGTCAGCATGGGGGACTTTCTCATTTTTCGGAAAAATACGGGAATTGTTATTAGGTGGTTGACTAATCAGAAGCCAGCTTTTTCAACACGTGATATCATTTTTGTCAAAACTATTATTATATTATATAATTTCTTTCGTATTAATTTCAAAGTAAAAATAGCATTTTAAAAGGACCTGACTATTTATTTACACTCTAATATCAATTTTATAGTAAAGATTTTATTTTAAAGGTTTTTAGTAACAAGTTATACGTCTTTTAATAGTTTTTCTTAAACTCTCAATTAATAAAACTATACTATTATATATATTAAATAACTTCTATTGTATTAAAATATCTTTCAAGAAATTATAGGTTTAAAAAAGTCTATAGAAGAAGTTCGAAAGTAAAAATTAGCAAGTTAATAATCTGAATATTAAAGAAAAAAAAAAGAAAAAGAACATTGAACTTTGCGAATTGAACAGTACAGTTATACTTTTATTACCTTTTACTATACAGTAGATAGTACTTCAACCATTAACAGAACTACCATGATGCAGCGTGATGCAGCTGATGCAACTAGAGTTTCTTGAAAAGACATTCTCTACAAAGCTATTTTATTAGTAAAGTTTTGCATGATTGATTTTTTTTTTTTAGGTTTACTTATACCCAAATATTCCAGTTTTAAACTACTATTCTGTATAAATACTTGTGTAATGTTGATCCCAGAAATCATTGGATTTGAATATCCCCCATGCTCACATACACTTTTTTTCCATAAATGCATTTTATATATACTTTTTTTTGTAAGTGCATATCAGTTGATCTGTCTAATGTAATATAACATTATATGTTAATTACATTCTATAAGTGCACATTTCATAAGCATATCTTTTCTCAATTACATGCATTTATAGTAGGGTTCCTAGAGTTCAGGTTCAGGTTCAATAAACCTGAACCACAAATTTTGCAGATCTTTGAACTTGAACCTAACTGAACTTTGAATTTATGAACCTGAACTAAACTGAACCTGAACTTAAAGTTTTGGTTCAGTTCAGGTTCAGTTCAAGTTTATGAACATGTTCAGGTTCAGTGACAAAACATAGTAAACAGTAAAAATATGTTTACTAAATATTTTTTTTTGTCTTTAGAATTTTCGAATTTGGAGTT